AAACTGAACTATAAATGAATGATGTGTCGGTTTCTTATTGGTTAATAAAAATTCTGGAATCACTACTTCTAAATCGTTTAATTAATCCAAGTTCACTTGGTACATCACCGATATTCACTTGGTGCATCACTGCTATTCACTCGCTACATGACCGCTATTTATTTAATCAAGCCAACTCATTTGGAGAAAGTAGTGAGAAATAATCTTTTTTTGAGTGCTATAAATTTTTTGTACTCCAATTTTTACAAAATATATATCATAATTTATACTTCCCTCATACCTTTGGAAGTTCCCATGGCTAAGTGACGCGATTTTTTAGACAAGTGATTGAATAAAGTAATTTGGGTAAAAAAAAGAATAAAGATTTTTTTATAGAAAAAGTAATCATTTGAGTGAAAGTAATTAAAGGGGAATAAGTTGAGAGAGGAGAAATTGTGAGACTTGACATGTAATGAGTAGGAGAAAGAGAAATTTGAGTAAATGTGTAATTAAAGAGAATAAATTATTTCCTAAATTGGAATGAAAACCATTCAACGGGACACCCGAATAAAGGAAAATGGAATCTTTTCAATGGGAAGGAAAGAGTATTTTTTTATAATCTTCCATATAATGGCAATATTGCATATATAAATCAATGATATATTTTCTACAAAATTTTAATTGTAAAAATAATGAATACTAAAAAACTAAATTCTAAATCCGCCACAAAAAAGATTCAATAAGATCATACCAGATTAGAGCAGATCATAAAAAATTTAGATCAAATTGGACCAGAGTTTAAAAAATTCGAATCATAAATATGCATATGATAAATAGAACAACTGCTTAATATCAACCATATTATATAGTGGAGTAGAATTCATAAAATAAAAATGGTATCAATTCAATTTCTAAAAAATTTACAACATAAAAAATTTTAAATAATGAGACTCTAATACACGTAATAGGACTCTAATCATACAAAATTAATCTTACATATTAGAGCGGGGCTCCGATGCACAACCAATTTTTTTAACTAATACTACGTAGAACTTTAGTTCATGAACGCTAATCGTACTACACCAATAATACACGCGACTATCTAAAACAATGTAAACTCTACTACATACTCTCAATTCCAATGTATTAAACACTTCTTATTATCACCACGCATCATATAATCTGCCCTATAAATAATTACACCGTAATACTTCACAACTAACACAACAATTAGCATATAAACAACAATATAATAAAAAATTCATACTCCAAACGATGGTGATTTTTCATCCGTCTTGCACGGTGGTGGTTAGTTCAAATTAACCCTACCGGGCATGTCCCGGGTGTTACACTAGTATGTAATGATTATGAACCGATATCTAACACACAATCCATTTACGTAATGCACATGAACTTGTATCTAATTCACGTTTCGTATATATCAATTGTGCATTATAAACAAATTATGCAAGTTGTGCATATTAGAATAAGTGCGTGCATCATTAATGTTCATTGTGCACGCACTATAGTTAATTGTGCAAACAAATTATTTAGAACTTTTGAAGGAATAATTAAATAAAAAGGGAATGAAGATATGGTATGTCATGTGAGCAAAGTTAAACAAAAACTTATTTTGTTTCTATAAGTGGACAAGAAAACTGACGTGAGAAATAAAATTAAAAACTAACATGATAGGTAGTGTATTCTTTCCATTACTGAACATAGGAAACGTGCGCCGCATTAAGTGCAAACAAAGAATAATACGGAGTATGTAAATGCCCTTTACGGCCATTTACTTCATCGCAGATCAACATATATTTTGGATGAATAGGATTTGTTCTCACTTCTCACAATAAGGAGTGTTTTCATTTGAACCAATATATATATATATATATATATATATATATATATATATATATATATATATATATATATATATATATATATATATATATATATAAGATCAGATACAAAGTAAGCTTCCCATACAAAATACAAAATCATCTCATCCGTCCAATATTATACAATCAATGGTAGGATTTGTTAGGAGTTGTTTTGAACACTAATAATGAGTTGTATGGTAGGGTTTTTAGGAGTTTTTTTAGGATTCTAACCACTACATGAAAACCATGGGGGACTTATCCATCTACACCCTTATTTCATTCATATGGATGGCCTAGATTAATTTGCACGTTGTAAATTAAGATTACTTTGTAAGAATTGAGAACAAATCTGAGACATCCAAAATACATACATAATGCATTAAGATGATCGAATGAATAACCAAGGGCATTTTTTGTATAATTCTTTTCGGCAGTTTTTTGTAACCGGCATTTAATTAAATGTGTATCTTCCACGTTAGGAAAGGAATGAGTAATAACACGTCCTCTAAAACATTGCACTTTATTTTTAACCTTAATTCTCTGCTCCACTTATATATTTGATCCACCTTAATTCTCTGTCCACTTACAAGACTCTAATGGATTCATTTCTGTGTTTTTTTATATACTTAATTTTTTTCACTTTCTAGTTCTCTATGTTAATTATCAAAAAACACAACCATCACTTCAACTACTACATACATCACCCCACTGCATATGATTGTGCACAATCGAAACCCTAACCTCAAAATAATATAAGGATTTACTAATGAACAACTATAATTCAATGGTACACAACAATAATTTATACCAACTGTGAGTTAGGTATTGTTCATGTGCACTAGATATTGATGATTGTGTATTAGATATGGATTATTTAGCATTAGACACTTGATTCTTTATGCACATAATATGTGCTAAAAATTGGTTCTTAGGCGCATATACATATTTTGCATCAGATATTGATTCTTGTGTGTTATACAATAATTTAAGTTGTATAAGTTCTTATACATTAGATATTAGTTCTTAATTGTTGTTAATTAGATAATTGGTTTTGTGCTTAAAATACTTGTTCTGGTGTTTTTCATACAAATAATGTGTAAGATACTTATTTATGTGCATTAGATATTAGTGGTTGTGTGTTAGATATTAGTTCATTGCACTTCTTTTTCAGTGTTTTATTTACTTTTAATTCTAAAATGGCAAGTTAATTTTCTATATCCAGAAATCAATTTTTTATTATTTCCAAATTTGAATCAACTTATTTATGTCAAGTAATTATTGCTACTTTGTAGAAAATGGAAGCCTCTAAAGGCCGTATGTGTATTGCTAATGATAATGACTTTCATGCCCTTTATAAAGTCTACGGTTTCACAAGTTTGAGGTGGAAGAGGTGTCATATGCGGGGACGTACACTGTACTAGTGTGCACCATTCGTTTTATATGCCGTTGATTTAATATGATTAGCGATTAAGATTAGTTCTCATTTCTCACAATAAGGGGTGTTCTTATTAGAACCTCTCCATATATATATATATATAGGGAAAACTGTCAAATAAGTCCTTGAACTTTCATACAAAGGTCAATTAAGTCCTTCTATAGGAGGTTCTGTCCGGCCGTCGTGATTTGGGGCAGTTAACGGTGGAATTTTTTGATGAAATGTTTTGAGCATCTTATTCACCAAGTCTAGTTTAGTCATACCAAATTTCAGCTAAATATTCAATCGGGAACACATTCAAATTAATTCTTGAAGATAACTGCGCATTTTTGCGTTCTCAAATTAATTTGAATGCGCTCCCGATTAAATTTTTAGCTGAAATTCGGTATGAATAAACTAGACTTGATGAATAAGATGCTCAAAAAATTTCATCAAAAATTCCACCAGGAACCGCCCCAAATCGCGACGACCGGACAAAGTCTCCAATAGAAGGACTTAATTGACTTTTTTATGAAAGTTCGAGGACCTATTTGACAGTTTTCCCATATATATATGTGTGTGTGTGTGTGTGTGTGTGTGTGATGCAAATGTGATGCACTACATCGTTCTTATTGGGGTTGATATATGTGAGATGAAATTTTGAGAGTTTGGATTTTCGGTGCTTGAAGAGTTTTTCAGAATAGAGTACTACTTGTTGTATAGGTTTTAATAGTCCTCCATTTGAAGAGTACACTAAATTTTTACGTATGAAAAAATAAGAGTAGTGGGGGAGTAGGATAAAATATTGTTAAACTAACTTTTAAAACCATTTGGTATATATAATTAAGAGGAAGAGATTGAAATCACTTTTAATTTGGAACTTGATCGTTGTATTACACACTTTACCGTTGCATAATTAATTCATATAATATATCAGTTACAAATAAATTAAATATATTTGATACTTATCATTTTAATCCAAGTTTCTCTCCTTTCTAGCAATTAGCTTGTTTTGGCTAATTTGCTTGTCCAAGCTAGAAACGAAGATGCACTCCAATGGTGGGCTAATAGCTTCAAAATTGCAAGCAAGTCCCTAGAAGCAACCATTGGAGATGCTCTAAGCATTTTTGTATAATAACCTCTCATCGTAATTGGCAGGAATCGAACTCGAAACTCACCGCTTGTGACACCCCTATTTTTCTTATACAAACTAGAGTTAATGGACTTAATGAGAACATTGACCTAATCGTTCAACCATTACGTCATGTTTACTTACGACATAATAAAAAGCACAACTTCATTATTCAATCAAAAAATTGACTTAATCATTAAGCTGAAATATAGTACTCATTCCTATTAAGACGTTTCTTAATTGATTATTTTAATACTAAATTGATTATTTTACTCAATTCAAACCGTATACTCATAACAAAAAGTAAACAACTTCATATACAATTACCAATTAATCCAGAGAAACGTCTTAATTCATACCAGACTAAATAGAAAAGAAAAGTGAACAACCCCTTAGTCGAAATATTATATTGATTACATCAGGGTCCAAAGCTATTAGTGTCCATTAGATTAATTAAATTAATGACTATATTTCATTCTCATTCCTCTACTAAGAATTCAACCTTGCTAAATCAGACATTCAGACCCTTTAAGGAAATGTACTCCATAAGTGGCCTTCACTACCCTCACACACTATTTCTAGAGGTATATAGCTGCAATTAAACTGATAGAAGAATTTATGAAGTTCAAGAGGGGTTAAACTGAACAACCAAAAGATTAACCAACACTCCAAAGAAGTGCATAATTGATGAAATTCTACCAAGTGTTAGAATACCAGCTGTGGAGGCAGTACACATTTAAAAGAGTTTTTTCCACTTTTAGTCCTTCGACTATTATGTCACTGACACTTTTGGTACTCGACTTTGATTTTTTCCACTTTTAGTCCTCAACTATTATACTAGAGACACTTTTGGTACCCATCTTTGAAAATTTCCATTTATAGTCTTTCGACTTACATAAAAGTGACACTTTTGGTCCTCCAACTATTATAACAGTGACATTTTTAGTCCGTCACTTATTGTGTCAAAATCATAGTGGAAGGACTAAAAGTGTCAATTTGATAATATCAAAGGACTAAATGTGGAACACTTTGAAGTTGAGGACTAAAAGTGTCTCTAACACCAAAGTTGAGGACTAAAAATGGAAAAATTAAAAGTCGAGTATCAAAAGTGTCACTAACACAATAGTCGAGGGACCGAAAATGGAAAAAACTCCATTTGAAAGATGTCTTTTAACTTCTACCGTTAAATAATGTAATAATCTCTACACATTAAAAGGATGACATTTGCAGAAACAAAAAGAGGACTACATTTTAATGAGTGACCAAATATTTTCATCATTGATGTGACTACACCTGTTACAAAGTACATCATCTCGTTTGTTGATCTCCAGACTCGCTTTAAGCCTACAATATAGGCCATTACTCCTTCACTGCTCACATATTTACCAGTCAACATGCAGTGAGTACTGTTTCACCTTTGAGTGCTAACAGAATCACAGAAGAAGCTATGAAGACGCAGCTCTCTCCCTTTTTTTTCTTTATACGGAGTACAAATTGTTCTCAAATTCCTTGTAGTCCCTGTCAAAATCACCTCTCACAACCTCTAGTTTCATTCGAGGTCTGCTTTGTTGGGTGATATTTAGTTAAAAATTAATCTCTTGAGATAAGTCATTCACATCCGTGATCGGAAAAGGCGCTTCTTGGCTGTATTTTGTAGAGAGTGTTTTTTATTATACGAAGTAAACGGATGGGCTTCTGGAAAACTAGAGAATTTTATATCCCAACCTTCAACATTCTTTGGGACACATGCATCAAAGAGGATTTGGCCAAGAACACTATGGGTGGCATTAATAATACTCGTGGTCGGCCTATTATGTGGCAATTTGTCCTTTTTCTCACCATAGTCCTCCCCACTGTTCTGATTCTCTTCTGAAGTCGGTAAGAATAAATGTGCGTTTGGACCAAGTTCAACCCTTTTAAGACTTCTGTTCGAGTCAACTGCTGCACTTTGGAGGTTACATACCAAATCAGATATATCGCCATGTATACCTTCCAAGTCCTTTTGATCACCCAGTTTCTTGACTTTGTTGGTGAACACCAGGGATGCAAGTGCAAGCAATTCCGTTACAGCAGCTCTGTACTGGATCGGATCGTTCTCCAAATGACCTGTACAACAAGGCAACCAATGCATGAACACACAAACTATCAAGGATTGTAGATTTGCAGTGCCTGTTTGGAATTACTAAAAAATGCACATTTGGTCCTTTTAATTTTGACCAAGAGTACTAGAATCAATTTTATTTTAATACAAGCACCACAAAGGCACAAATATTACTTTTAGATATGTTCCTTTTCTTCGTTAAAAAACCATCCAAATGGCCTCACAGTCGATGAATTTTTTCGGTGCTCCAGGAGGCCCAAGCACCAAGTGCTCCAGCAACAGGAACAATGTCATTTGTTCATCCTGTGTTAGTTACGCTTTATCAACTTTAAGTCCACCAAGTCATGTACAGTATTAAGGGCTAATATCTGATTTAGTCCATCGACTATACAATATTACATTATTAAGCAATTTGGCACTGGACTACATTTTTTATTCAGTTTAGTCATTGACCAAGGTAATTAGGATGCAATTTAGTGCTCATACATAATGTCTCCAAATTAGTAGGGTATTTTCATCCATTCACAAAATTCAGCCAAAACTTAGGAATCAATTTCATACAGAACTGTCTACTTTGGAACCAATTTAGTCTTTGGACAGAAAGATTCTTAAATAGAGCAAAACATGCATAGGTAAGGATCAAGTTGAGACCAAAGGAAAGTTAATGACCAAATTGAGTGATAATGGGTAGTCGAGGACTCGATGGACTAAATCGTGCATTAATCTAGAATTAAGTAATTGTGACTGTGACAAACTGATAAAGTATACCAGATGCAAAACCATAGTGGATCAGTCATGATATGTAAATGAATTTCACAACGTTTGCCAGTTGTACAAGTAAAACCTTAGGCACCATTTATAAGATGGAGTACTGACCAACATGAGGTGAGCTCTTCCACTTCACAATTCTAACTGATCCCCCAATATCTCGCAACCGCTGAGCGAACTTAGACACCGTTTGAAATGGAGCAAGTTCATCATTTTCAGAGCACAAAATGAGGAATGGGGCCTCAAATCTCTGTAACAAGAAGAGGGAAAAAAGATGCATATTAAATTTATATAAAGAAAACAACCTGCAAGAAACTTCATCCAAAATTTGAAACTTACTATAGTGGAATAGAGAGATTCCCAATATTCAGCATTCTGGGGACCAAATCTAGTCAGGAACAAAGCATCTAGTCCCGAGGTAAAACCTCTTGCTACCAAAGACACAAGCTTTGCAGAACCAGGCACTTTGAGAAGGGTAGACGGTAGAGCAAAGCGGGCCCCGAAATCAGCTGTAAAATCAACAGGACCAGAATCAAATATGTGACCACAGATGCAATTGGCTACAATTTTGCTACCCCCCTACGCCAAAAAAATCCAGTCAATTAGAACTGTTAGCTTACGATTATTAGTCTTTTATAAAAATTGAAATTTCATCTCAAATTTGTAATGAGTACCAAATTGAGCAGTGCTTCATATTCCCCTTCAATGATCTGCAACACATGTAACAAAATATATAAGTACTAAACTTCATTGAATAAAATTGATTGACTTATATCTGCATATAGTGTTACCTGAACAAATTTATACATGCAGGCTTTTGATCCACCAGAAATAGACACAAGCACTACTGGACATGGTCTGCACTTTATCTCCTACACGTATCCAAAGTAGTGCAATTGAGACAAAGGATTTTAGATCAGCGAGTCAGATGCATCAAAAAGTGGTCTCTGTTTTGACACCATTCGGAAGAAAATGAGTCATGCAATTCCCACCCCTTAACTTGTTTGGGAGGGGCATTCGAGCTACAATAAGTCACTAATTCTTGTTATACTTCCAAAACTGAGAGGTTAACAAAAGTCAACCAAACATTGTGGAATTTTTTAGCTCATTGTGGTTGTAGTTACGCTGCTATAGCTAATAGTTGTGATGCAAAATCAAACTAATTTCAAACAAAATTTATCTTGCAATTCTAAGACGGAAACAACACAAATGCAGAATACATAACAAAAAGAGATGCTTCAAGTACAATTAAATTTTTTCCCTCAGCAAAAAATTCTGATATGAGAGCAAGGCAAATAGCAGGTTATCAATCTCAAATTACATGAAAATACATATTTGCGGTGTATAAGTAACAAAACAAAAAAACTAACCTCAACAAGTTCACAAACCAGAGAAAGAGCAAGTGACGTGGCCCTCTCAGGAATATATCTGTTAGAAAATTGTTCAACAAGCTCAATTTACGCCAAAAAGTATCTAAAAGTATAAAGAATGCAACGGTTATATAATCACTCCTCATTAAACATGCAATATCAACCCGAGGTGTATGAACCTAACCCAAATAAACAACAGAGATCTCTAGATCACAGGTTACACATCAAACGCCTAACAGCACACCCATATGTAGCAATATGTCTTCCTTAAATGCTGAAATTGCAGAAATAAAGTTAACGAACTCCTATGTTTCCTTTCCTCCTAAACCGGCACTTCTTGCTGCTTCAAGCCATTGAAAATTCAGCATTTCAACCATTGCAGAAGTCTGTTGGCCACTAATGAAACCATTGGAACAAATAATCCACCTAAGATATATAAAACCAACACGTTCAACCCTGAATAGACGCTGGAAAAGCGTTATGACATTGAGACTGGTTTATACAAAAAAATGTTGACCAGAAAAGCCAACTCACACTTTGTATTTGACTTTCTTTTTCTTTCTTCCAATCTTCCCATATCCCAGACCCAAATTACCCAATCCATTAGCTGCAACTTCTAAGATTTCGATATACAACGACACTGAAGAAACTACGACAGAGAAGATTAAAAACATGCGTAGAAAAGATGAAGAGCTTACGTATTGACAAAATCCGCGAAACAGACGAGAGATTTCCATCCAAGAGAAGAATAGAGATTGATGTAGTTCTTCAAGTGAGCTTCTTGTACCGAAATCCAGGCGAACAGAACCACGATCCCTTTCACTTTATCTTCAGCGAAATTCTCCCTCTCGGACCAGAACACTCTGCCGTCGCCGCCGTCGCTCCACATCTCAAAACCGCCGGTTCCAGATACAGTATACTTTGATCGGGCTGATGGGGAGGTGAAGAGAGTCGTGTGTTAGGTTGAGCAGACGAAGAAATGATCGTGGTGGATAAATGATGGATACATCTGCCACCTCAGTCGTTACCAGCTCCAACATTTACAGTCCAACCGGTTTTCTACCATGTGCCAGCCGGCAATTTTACAGGGGTAATGTTTAAAAGAAATGATTATGGGTATTATTATTATTATAAAATTAACACAATAAATAATATTTCCTTTATTCCATTTTAATTACAACAGTCAACATTTCACGTTTATCAACGCACAAGTTTGACAATTAATACGGAGTATCTTTCAATCCTTATTATTAAAAAATTTAAAAAATTCATATTTTGAAAATTTAGAATGAGAAGAATTTAACAACATCTTTTAGAAATTTAATTAATAAATAAAATATAGTGAAAATAGAATATGTGAATAATGTAAAAAGTTCAATGTTGCAATAAAGAGAACGGAGTAAGTAAATGTTTTGATGACATTACAATACTAATATAGTTAAATGAATAAATTGATTTGTAACATAAATTGATTTGTAACATAATAAATTGGTACTTAATTGTATTCTTTAAAATATTCAACTGTGTTACAAATACAGTTATTAATACCAATATTTATTTGTTTAAACATTAGTCATTAAAAATAATATGCAATAATCGGTGGTACATTAAGAACAGTACACCGGACGTACAGTAGGAACTGTATTTGAATTAAAAAATACAAATACGAATTTTTAAATACAAATGCTATTTTGAAGATACGTTAAAGACTTTCAAATATAAATACGAACGTGTGTTTTAGATTAGTAAAACTTTAGTTATGAATTGATAGAGAAGAAAAAACTTAAATTTATTCATAATTTAATTTGAAGATAAAAAGGGTCAAAATCTCGATTGAGTTTTTAATATTTTGATTAAGAAGGAAAGAGACAATTGAAGAAGATTGCTGAAAAGGGAGGAAGAAATTCCCCAAACGATGATGCAGCCAATTCAATCTGGACCACGTCTATTATATTATCTCTTCATTCCTACATAAACTGTCACGCCCCGGACCTAACCGGACACGTCAACAATCCGCCGTACAGTACGAATAGTCAACCGCAGTCCAACACATCCATACTATACAAGGCGTCTAGAATATCATTCACACATAGTACATCCATAAACAAACATAATGTAAAATATTCATTCATAGCAGCGGAAACATTCAATACGAGTATTCATGCCACACCTTGGCAAACATGGGCATACAAGCCCCCAAATAAATATTTAAAAATATTATCCATGAGCATTAATTAAATAGTTTGTAAAATGGAAACGGAGGAAGCACGAACCACGTCTCCTCTCCTTGGATCCTCCCGAAAACAACGGCGGTGGTAGCAACCTTCAAGTTCTACCTGAAACTGTGAGGTGGCCTCCCCCGTGAAGGGGAGGTCAGTACTTGGAAGCATTTGACAAGTACAATGACAACTACACTAAGTATAATCAAAGTTTCAATTTCCAAGACCCTCAATCCAGGATGTTATTATTTTATAATCGACTCATATTCCTCCATGCTAGAGCTCGGCTCATAGTCATACTAATTTGTGCTAGAGCTCGGCTCATAGTCACACTACATTTTTGCTAGAGCTCGGCTCATAGTCATACTACATTTTGCTAGAGCTCGGCTCATAGTCATACTACATTTTGCTAGAGCTCGGCTCATAGTCATACTACATTTGCTAGAGCTCGGCTCATAGTCATACTACCACGTGCTAGAGCTCGGCTCATAGTCACGTCCTCTAATCCTAAACAAGTCTTCTTAGTCTAGGTTCCATCCCTTTGAGTAACCCTTAAGGCTTACTCCTAATGTAACTTGGGTTCATACTTAGCTCCAATATCTTGGAATATCTCCAAAGACTATTGAACTATCATTTCCGACTAGTAATTCCATACTAGTCGTTTAATCTTAGTATATCCAATGCAAATTCATAATAGTTCGTATATTTCAATTTAATTCCACATTCAAGTATAGTGTGGCTTTAATATCAAAATATCACTTTTATCCTTCCATGACTTCCTTACATGAGGTAAAAGTATATTTATCACAATTTAATTTATAGTTTACACATTATCATACCATTGTATTCATAACACATAATCATACACAATTTATTCATAAATTTGTATATTATGCATTTTTGCTTATAATCAATAATAATCTCATTTAGGCATTTTTTATTATAAATAAGTCATGCTAAACACATATAATTCATTTAGGTAATCTTATGAAATTAACCCAATAATTATAAGCAATATAGTCGGTCATCCTCACCTTAAGTGAGCTTAAGCGTGTTCTACGCTTCTCGATCGATCTTTGACTAATTCCGGTGAACTTTGACCAACTCCGGCGAACTTTGACCAACTCCGGCGAAACTCCGGCGAAGCTCGAAAATGCTCTAATCAAGTTCCTAACAAGGTTTTAACATCATAAAACCTTAATCAAAACAAATGACCTTTAAAAGGTTATTTTCCGGTGAACTTGTCGGTTTGGCTTCTAAGTCCGTTTTTGGACTTAGAACCACTCTCCAACCTATTATCCCACACTTAAATTTTGTAGAACAACCCTCAAGGTCCTTCATATGATATATATCACATATGATAGAAGAAAAATAAAGGAAAAGTTGATATAAGGTTATTACCTTAATCTTTCTCACTTTTCCTAGCTTTTTCTCCCTTTAATCTTTCCCCTTGGACTTCTATTGCTTGAGCTCTCTTCAAGGATGGGAAAAGGAGGATGGAGGTTTTCTTTGTCTTGCTTGGGGTAGTGCTGGCCGAGAGGAAGAATGGGGGAGAGAGTGGGTGAGGTTTCCTTTTTGGCATCTTTGCCAAATGAGTGAGAATGGGGCCCTTGGGATGTCAAGGTTGTCCCTCCCATCTCCTCAAGCCTTTCAGCCCATGTTTGATATAGGTCATCCCCCCTTTTTGTTGCTAAATTCGTGGGTTGGCCCCCACCCATGTGGGAGGTCAACCCTTTTTGTCCAGAAGTGTACAATCGGCCCCGAAAGTTGTATTTTTCGGACTGTTTTAAATATATTTTATTTTATCGGGTCAAATAAAATATATTATGTGTTCTTAATCATTATACCCTTTATAATGAATGTACATTCCCAAACTTTAATTTATAAGTCCCCGAAATTAAATTTCGGGCTTTTATCGGTTAAATTATCAATACCGACATTTGGGCTTCCTTTGACCAATCGGTCAACTCTGGACCTTTCCATGGTTCAAATGAAGTAGCCACCACTATATAAATATTATCTCGACCAAGATAAATAAAATATATGGTTTCGGGAAATTCGGGCGGCCCCGCTCCCGGTGTGGGTCCCACGAGCGAATTTATTATTCACGCAAAAGAAGTATTAAAAATTCACCACTTCGTATTTTCATTAACCATTCCATGAGGTTCAATACATTATACTCTTAAAAGTAAATACATTTGGGGACGGTGTTACAAGTTCACCCCCCCTTATTTGGGATTTCGTCCCCGAAATCTACGTGTCTAATCGAAAAGAAACGGGTATTGCTCCCTCATTGAGACCTCAGTCTCCCAGGTTTCTTCTTCGACTCGATCACTCCTCCAAAGAACCTTTACCATAGGAATCTCTTTGTTCCTCAGTTTCTTCACCTGTTGACCCACAATCTTTACCGGTTCCACCGCATATTGTAGATCTTCACGTATCTCCACCGGTGGCTTCTCAAGAATATGAGACGGATCTCTCACGTATTTCTTGAGCATCGATACATGAAACACGTCGTGTATCTTCTCAAGTTCCGGCGTCAACTTGAGACGGTATGCTACGGCCCCTATCCTTTCAAGGATTTCAAATGGACCAATGTATCGGGGGTTAAGCTTTCCCCTCGATATAAATCGGATGATACCCTTCCAAGGAGAAATCCTTAGGAAGACCTTATCACCGACCTCGAACTCCAATGGCCTGCGTCGTTTGTCGGCATAACTCTTCTGCCGATCTTGGGCAGCCCTGAGTCTATCCTGAATGACCTTCACCTTAGCCTTGGTGATTTCAACAAGTTCAATCCCTTCGAGCTTGGCCTCGCCAACCTCGTCCCAACACAACGGTGTTCTGCATTTCCTCCCATACAATGCCTCGTATGGAGGCATGCCAATACTTGCCTGATAACTGTTGTTATAGGCAAACTCGACTAGAGCCAAATGTTTGTCCCAACTCCCTTGGAACTCCAGAGCACATGCCCTAAGCATGTCCTCCAATATCTGTATCACCCTCTCAGATTGTCCATCCGTCTGTGGATGAAAAGCTGTGCTAAACTTCAGTTTAGTACCCAAAGATGCTTGAAACTTGGGCCAAAACCGAGATGTGAATCGTGGATCCCTATCCGAGACAATGGATATCGGGACTCCATGTAATCTCACAATCTCTTCCGTGCATAACTTTGCCAATCTTTCAAGAGGATAAGTAATGTTGATAGGCAAAAAGTGTGCACTCTTAGTGAGCCTATCAACCACTACCCATACTGCATCGTAGTTGTTCACTGTTCGTGGTAGCCCCACCACGAAGTCCATGGTAACATGCTCCCACTTCCATTCTGGAATGGTCAGTGGCTGCAAAAGCCCCGCCGGGTGCTGATGCTCTGCCTTAACTTGTTGGCAAGTAAGGCATCGACTCACGTACTCTGCGATGTCTCTCTTCATACCCGACCACCAGTAACTTTCCTTCAAGTCTCGGTACATTTTGGTACCCCCTGGATGCATAGCATATGCCGAAGAATGAGCCTCCTCTAGTATGGACTTTTGGAGCTCCTCACTCTTTGGTATGCATACACGGTCTTTAAACAGTAAAAGACCGTCATCACGTACCCGAAAGTTCTCCACGGGCCCTTCAAGGATCCTTTCGCGGATCTTCTGGCATTCTTCATCAGTGGCCTGACATCTACTGATCTCACTCAACAATGTAGGCCTAACTTCGAATCTAGCAATGAGGACCCCACTCGTGGACACCTCCACTTGTGCCCTCAAAGTTCGTAGACATGTGAGTAGTGTCCCCGACGTACTCTTCCTGCTCAGCGCATCGGCCACTACATTGGCCTTTCCGGGAT